TGTGAGTGTGGGGGTGTGTGACTGTCGTTTTGCCTAATCTTGTGCATTTGCGTATTTGTCTTGGAGTGTAAAAGTGCGTGGGAAAAGACCACATTGGAAGGGAGGAGGAGGGGGGGCCTAGGCTTGTCTCCACACGTTTCGATGCAGGGTTTGAGGGTCGGCTATTTGACACGTAGCCCTTCTGCACTTTCTTTGGGCTTCTATTTGTTTTATTCGTTTCATGTCATTAGGTCATTGATCACCATGCATATTTCTTCACGTTAATTACGAAGAGGAGGAGAGGGTTTGAAGGCTTGGCCAGAAATAGTAACGTCAAAACAAGTCCATCCAAATTGTGTGTCATGTCACAATACCTCATGATCCAAAATCCACATCATGAATTTGCTTGGAGATTGTCCACGTCATCGTCAACTCGTAGCTTGAAGAGTTCTCTAATCCGATATCAAATATGAGGGAGTTAAACACATGGTATACGAAATAGCTCTGAGTTTAATGATGTTTTTCTTTTAAATGTTAGAAAATATTACAAGTTTAAATTTATCTTTTATATTAAATTTTAAAAAGAAAAACATTGCCTCATGCTTTTTCATCTTGCATTAGAGAAACTCCTATGTCACTTACAAATACTAAGTCATACGAGAAGTAGAATTTATTGTGTTAATTAACAAGTTAATTTAGTGGTATTTTTCTTTCTAATGTTGAAGTATCACTCGCATAATCTTCTAAGAGAGTTAAACCAATTCAAGGAATTTTGGAATGTGGGTCATACTAATTGGTTAGGACAAACGTGTCTCCACTCTCTTGTACTCCGGTTGAATTTTCCTCCCTCCATACAAATTAGAATAATTTCGAATATCATTTTGTGAAAAAACCAAATAGCTTTGCCCCAAATTTACGCAAAATATAACTGCAAACTATTAAGTTGATTAGACCTAGTACATATATTTGGACGCTCATTCTTTTTCAACACCCATTCACATTTTTCAACATTTTCTAGACAACAAAATCTTTTAGGACTACCATTTATTTTACTTTGCACACCCGTAAGACTTGTGCAGCTATGTGGAACCGCATAACTTCAGTCAAACACGACTCTTCTAGCTGCACAAGTCCACAATATGTATTTTAAGTTATTGTGACTCTAATCAATTGTACGTACCGTGAACCCATAAATTTTTCAAAGCCAAACACAAAATACAAATGTGAAAAGAAAATCAATAAAACAAATCATACATTTTCTTCCTCATAGATAATCTCCTTTGTGCATTTTCCTCCTCATAAATGTATGCAGTTTTTATGTGAATCAGGGATTAGAGAGTTAAAAAAAAAAAGGGCGAGTTAGGGGTTAAGGAGTTAGAGAAATAGGTGAAGAGAGAGTTGGAGGGTGGTGTTTGACAACATTTTGTGGGTGTCTTGTTTGAGTGCTCAAGAAATTAATATTTTTTTTAAGAGAAGGTGATAAGCCTTTAAAAAGAGAGAAAATTGTCCTTTTATTTTAAATATCAATTAAATTTGTCTGTGATATCAAAATAAAGGGATTTTAAATGGTGTAGGGGTTATTGCTCTTGACCAATTGAGCTACAAGTCCATTGATATTTAATTAATATAATGTTTGATTCACAAATATGGATGGGATAACTATTTTTCTTTTTACCAAATGTGAGGAATAATTGGGAGTATGATGAAATTTCAATGTGGACTTTTGACATAATGGTGTAAGGGGATGTAGCTCAAGTTGTTAATAACATTTGCCATGCATTTTAGTTCTTGTTGACCTTTTCACCTATATTGCTTTTGTAAAAGGAAAAAAAAAAACATGATATTTCTCATGTCAGAAAAAATCTGAAATTCAAAGGTTCTTAAGATTATATAGTTTTCGAAACTAGACCCAATTGTTTTTAATGGGGCTGTTTCTCAATTTGCGGCAAGTTTGCTTTGTGTGCATTGGACTGCAAACCCAAACTTAAAATAGAAGAACTTCATAGTTTTTTGGGTTTTACAATTCAACCTCTTACAAAATAAATTTCTAGCCAACATTTTCCATTAGCCAACAAACAATTCTGGATATTTAGCCTTGACATTAGACTCCAACTCCCAGGTTGCTTCCTCAATACTATGATTCTGCCATAGTACCTTAACTAATTGAATGTTCCGTTCCTACTACGAAGAAACTGTTCTTTTCGATCCAC